ATAGGGGTGTCCATAACCCTCACATGGGGTGGGGCTCCACCCCATGTGAGGGTTATGGACACCCCTATCCACCCCATGTGAGGGTTATGGACACCCCTATGTACAATAATTATGTACACCAAGTAAAGTCCTTTCCACAAACCAACCTGTCCACTACTTGCATTAAATCAATCCACTCACGTGTCAGGCCTAACCATTTCCCATACAATCGTTGGCAATAGAAGGACAAAAATACCCTCTTTTTCATTTTGATTTTTACACAACTACCCATCCACCACTATCCCAACGACCCAACCCCCAAAAAGCAAAGACACATTTCCTTCCTCCACCTACACGAACAACTTCCCTGAAGCACCGAAACGTCAACAATGGAGACTCCCTGACTGGTGCTATTGGTATCCAAAGGTGAAACTTTGAAACTCAGAAAAAATCGACAGCCCGCTTGCATCTCTTCTTCCGACGACAAGCTATATCGTCTCTAGTTGTTTAGACGAAGATGAAGATCGTCCCGTTTTCGCTCGGTGTAGATCTGCTGCAACCTTCATGGCACACGATGGAGTAGGTTGGGGTTATTACCCGAACAACATGGTAAGCTATTTTGTCCACATTTTTTTGCTCGTTTCCTACTGCAACCCACAAGAGAAGGATTACTCTATCATGAGCCAAATTATAATGGGCAATGTACCATTTCTTGTGTGTCAATGTGGCCCCATAGATGCATACTTTTGACACTCCATTCGCACACGTGAATCTACCAGAAATGAAATTATTCGACAATTTCAAGATTACAATTATTAGTTCCAGGCGTTTGGCCATCTGTTTGTGTTGTTCATAGATTATTTGTGCAACATTGCAAACGTACACGACCCAAAACCCGGACGAGGTGTAGGCTGCATCTTCAAACCCACACATGAAATCGAAGGCAGAGACATGTAAGTGTGCTGGTGAGAACCGTATGAGCATAGGATCTTGTCGCGGAGCATGTCACTGCTGAGGGCCATCATAGGGGAAAGTGCTTCTTGCTAACGGGTTGGGAGCGCATTCGCGACTTGTTCAACAACAATGCCGGGAAGGATTGGAGCATTACCCAGCTCAAGAATCATTAGGGCTCCATGAGTACAAACCACAAACTTCTATTCGAGCTTCTTCAATGCACGGGAATTGCATGCGGTCTCAGCAAAGGGAGCATAATTGACGCCCCAGACTGGTGGTGGAAGCAAAAAATTAAGGTATAGAACACCTGACAAACTGTATTATAATGTAATAGAAATGTCGTAGGTAATTCCTTCTGTTCTGCTTCATGAAATCAGACATAAATAGTTCAAGGATTTAAGGATTACTTTCTTGCTCTAGTTTCACGTTTGCCAGATGTAACTTTAATTGGTTTCAGAAAGCAAAACCCTCAATTTTGAACTTCATTAACTATTATATAATTCATTTCTTGTTCTAAGTTTTTACCAAATGACATAATATCTATACTCCCTGTTCGATCATCGATATACATAGATCATAAGGATGTTTAGCAGCTGCGTTTTATAGAAACAGACGATAGTCGAATGAATGCATTTACTATTGTCCGCAAATCATTCGTGGCAAACAGTGGTGAGAAAAGTATGGATTGGTAGTATTACTACATGATAAATGCTTTCTTGTTACATTACAGGAGAACCCTCAGTATGGAAAGTTCAAAAATAACGACAACACTGAGATTTACCACACGTACGGCCGACTATTGGGAGATAGTTGTGACTCCATGAAGTACGCACTGACACCTACCAAAATGTCTCAACGCGGGTTTGATTTGGGCTCCGATAGTGACACGGACGATCCAAATGACAAGTTGCCTATTAACGCGAGTCACAACTGATTCCAGTGACGGCCCGACAGAGGGTAGAGTGAACTCTTCGACGAATATGTTCCTTAGTCGAAGCAGCGAGAAGAGCAAAGCCAAACAAGTGAAAGGGAAGTGGAAGAGGTTCGGTGCCGGAGAGGTTTTCGAGTCCGTGGATAACCTCGCGTATGCATCAAGGGAGATTGCTTCGGTCATTCGGACAAGAGATGAGGTTGGAATGACCCTCCACAAGTGCATTGACGATTTACTTTCAACTGGCATCGTTGCAGCCGGGGATGAGCTACACTTGTTCGCATTGTGGTTCTTACGGAAATCCAGCAACCGTATAGCTTATTCTGCTGCTAAAACACAGGAGTTGAGGTTCAAATGGATTGCGTATTACTTCGACTGCGACAAGATTCTTGGTTCCGAAAGCCGGTAAATGCTACGTGTTTGTGGTTAGGCCTCTAGTTTGTGTCCGTTGTTATTTATGTTGTGTTGCGTAGGACTTGTATAACTTATAAAACATATCCCATTGAGGTATGTTAGAGTCACACAATTTTACACACGTGCGAGGAAGGTACGAATTCTATCCTTGTTTGTGAGATTCATTGCTATTGTTGAAAAAAAGTCATCATTTCCATGTGTTCCCTGTCTTACCCTTTTTTTCAATTATGTCAAAAGCTTGAATATATAAGAGAATATATTCCCTGCATTTTCCAACTTTGTCTATTCACGTGATTTGAAATCCATCATGGTTGGGAGTCATCGGCCTAAAACTTATTATATGGGTCATTTAAAAAGTTTAAGGGAGAAAATACTGTAAATAAAGAAAAAAAGTGTTGAAAAAAATTTAGAAATATATAAAAAAAGCAGGTGTATGAAACATATTACGCACCAAATACCTTGATTATGTCCCAAACACTTATTTAAGAAAAAATAACTTTTGATAAGAGATTATTAGCCTAATTAAGTTATAGAGACTGAACCAATCAAATTTAATGGAGAATCCTTATTTATTAACATATTGACTTGCAATTAGTGAGATTTATCTAAATTAGAGAGGTGAGGATAATATAGAATTCAACCTTAGTTTACACACTTAAAATGAGCGAAAAGAATAAGATTGGGGGTGTGTGAATCTTACTAGTGATGAAAGAATATATTTGACCATTGAGGGTCGAAAATTGAAACAACTCATGAATTCATAATGTTATGTTTAGTTATTCACACATACACATCGATTTTACATTGGAGAANCCACCAATTAGATAACCAGCATTGTGTGTTTGTGTGTTTGATAGGTTTTAATTTTGTTTGAAGACAAACAAAGAATCAAGTTTGGGGGTGTGATAAGTATAGTTTCTACACTTATTCGAGGACCTAAATGATGATATTTTACTGTTCTTTGGATAAAAGACTACCTAATTTGTGTTATATTTCATTTCGTAGATAAAACTCAATGTTTGATGAAGAATTGGAGAAAAGAATGCAAATATAGCGGAAAATGGCTCCATTGTATCAAATACAAAGTTTGGGGACTAAATCGGAAAAAATGCCTATAGATGATTCGGACCTAGTATCGATGATTGGAGAGATGTTGGAGTCAATTAGACAAAATTGGAAGACGGAGGGTCAAAAAAATACAAAGAATGAACCAAAATAAACAAAGAATGAAATTCGGGGACCAAAGTGCAACAATTGGAAGATTTTATGTCTGCGCGCGCACAGGTAAAATCTCTCGCGCACACACGGGCTTAGTTTTTATCTACCGAGAGCAAACCAATTGAATGGCGCACGCGCACAAGCTAATTCTGGGCCTGAGCGACCCAATTTTCTGGTTTTATCTAAATTCCTATAAAAACCAAATTTAACCTACTTTCTAAGGAGGTGAACGGCGTGAACGACTCAGAGCATATCAAATCCTAAATTTCACCAAAAGAAAGAGGCTAGCACAAGATTCAAAGGTGATTATCACAAGATGTTGAAGATTCAAAGTCCGGATTGAAGAAATACAAAGAAGAAATTGAGTTTTCACCCTTCATTCATTATTTTTCATTCTGGATGATGTTTTTCCAAATCTTATTTTGTGATTTTCATATCAATATGCTAGACTAAGTTTATTTTTATTGAATGGGTGATGAAACTACTTGATTTCTAGTTTTTAATTCAAGACTTGTGATTTTTATTTAATTCTTGCGTTGTGATTTTATATATATGCTTTTTCATATTGTTGTAATGATTGCGCACCATTAAGACAATGAGTTGCTTATTCGTAGTGTTGGAAAACTCACGATAAGTAAAACACTATATATGGAACACATGAAAAATAAATATTAGGAATAATATTTGTGAAGTGTGCGATCGTGTGTGATAATCATATGTTTTAATGCATGTTTATCATATGAATGCGGACTAGGAATAGGATCGTGTCGTGGTCAACATAGGTTTATTATATCTTGAAAAATAATAATAAATAAAAGTGGAATTATCGATCGTCACGAATGTAATGATTGAATTAATTATCACAAGTTGGGAATTGAATTCTAGAGTAAAGTAGTGGATTCAGAAATCTAATACATTCACCCACATTTGATTTAAAAACCACTTTATTTCTTTTATTACTTTCGTAGTCATAAAACGTAGTTAAGCGCAAATCAATCATCCATTTTTATTGTTACGAATTTAGATACATTGGATGCACTAGAATTGAACCTTATTCCCTGTTGGACAATAACTCACTCATCACAATTATTACTTGTACAACGAACCTGTACGCTTGCGGGACTATTTCGCGGACACTATCAAACAATACAAAAAGTGAAAAATGGAAAAAACTTTCCAACTTCCATAGAAAATAGATGCTATCAAACATAGTCTTAATGTCCATCATATGAGTTGACTCGTGCTAGTTTTGGAGTGAGCTAACCACAAGTTCAACTTGTTAAAAAGCTAACTTGCAGATCGCTCAACCAGTTTTAATTGAAAAACAAAAATTGTTTATTTAAAAAAAATTGAATTTCAAAACTTGAATTCGAGTCGCCCAACCATCGACATACTGAATTGGACATGATGGCACTTATTATGTGTTAAATGTCATCATGTCATGCAGCCAATGGCTGTAAAAGACAGCCATAGCCCATAGTTGAATTAGACAAACTGTGCTCGACGAGTCAACTCGAACGAGCAACTCATACGTGAAAATCTCCAGTCGAGTTGACTTTACTGGTGCACGACTTGTATTTGAAACGAGTCAAGAGGGTGATGGACTTATCCTATTTACCACCCCTGCATATTCATGTCCTCGTATTGATTCCTTCCTCTCATAACGCCCTACCTATTTCCCATTTCTCCCAACTTTTAATGGGATAGTAGCATAATGGGTAAAGTGTTTTCTTTATTTTTTTTTCTTTTAATTGAAAATACATGTAAATTGCATTTTCATTTTACATTAATGTTTATTGGCAAAATGAATAAATGTTCACTAATAACTAACTTGTCACACTTGAAAAGTGAAAGACCCTCCTAAAAAATAAAAACAAATAAATTGTAGGATGGGACAAGGTTTAGGGATGGAGTGGAGTGGGGCAGGTCGACCCGAGTAGACATGCAGAAAACTTTTCAATTTTTTTAGATAGAATTTAAAGAAAATTATAGAAATTTTTTAATTAAGGAATATATGGCGAGCTCAATTTGGCTCAAAGACTCGTTCTAAACAAGTTGAACCATTCATGAACCAAACTCTTACAAGGCGACTTGCAAAATTGGCGGTGTTCGAGGCCTATTGCTTTCCTAGTGTTTATATCTTTGTTGATATTCTTCCACTTGACACTATCATATCTCTAACAATCTTTCCCATCACTACTAGATTGTGCCAAATAGTGAATGTCAAGCAAGATGTACATGTAGATTAATTATTTGAAAGACAATGCTAATGGTATATCATAGTCTACATCAGGGGGTTACACCCCCTAACATGGGAGGTGGGGTCCACAGGAATAAAAAAAATATTATTTGAGTGGACCCCACCTCCCATATGAGGGGATAGAACCCCCGATGTACACCACTTGATGTACAAGTGGAAATCCCTTATTTGAAGCACTTTTCAATGTTTCCAAAAAAATATTCTCTTTTGATTTTATTTTATTTCCTATAAAATATAGTAACAGATCGGGTCAAGAATCGGGTCCATAACACCGCCGGATTCCAGTAAATTCCAGCTCCCAGAGAGAGAAGCACAACTAGGGTTTTGCACTCAATTCTTTCAGAAGAAATCTGAGAGAAAAGAGGAGAGATTAATTTTATTTAACACACATATTTGATCGAAGATGAGGCCAATATTGATGAAGGGGCACGAGAGGCCATTGACGTTTTTAAAGTATAATAGGGAAGGGGATCTACTCTTCTCTTGCGCCAAAGACCACACTCCGACGGTTTGGTTCGCCGACAACGGCGAGCGTCTCGGCACCTACCGTGGCCATAACGGGGCCGTCTGGTCCTGCGATGCCTCCAGTAATTAATTTTCCTGTATCTTTTTTTCTTTCTTAATATTGATGTTTAGTATGTGATCCACGGTATCTATAGAAATAGTGTCTTTGAAATTGAACTTTTCAAGGTGAAAATGAACTGGTCTCTATACAGAATAAGAAACTAACTGGATTTCAAGGTGTTGAAACATTTTGGTGTCTAATTTTACACGCGGACTAAGAAATGTGTTAATTGTATACTTTTTATGAAAGATTTCAACATTTATTTGTATGAAATGTTTTTCTTTTGTTTGTTTGCACACTTGAAATTGTTCTATTATGTATTTTGAATTTTGAAGATGGTTCATGATGTATTATGGACTAATTTTGCATTTGAATAATTTTTTGAAATTTTATTGGTTACGATGGGGCTTACGCCTCAAAATGCCTCTGCGTATCATTCCCCACCTCATGAAGCAGAAACACCTCAGTACTTGATTGGGCCTTTTTAAACATTGGTTTGTTAACTACATTAGGAACCTTTCAGATGAAGTATTAGGAGAGTCCAAGGTAAACCACCTAATGAAGAAATCTGGTGATGAAGTAAGAAGGTGTGAATAGCATTTGAGGCTAAAGGGGAATTGTAGAAACTAATGAAAATGTAAAAATATGGAAGTTATTGGAAAGTACAAGTTAGCTAAATATGAAGCACAGAGGGTGATTCAACACTTTCAAGTGGGGAGCGTATGATGAGTTGTATAATTATGTGGGACCAAGGATGTTGAGGAAGTCATTTGTATGAGATCTTGGTTAAAGGAAAAGGTTGAGATTTAAACCGAGCAAGTTTATTAAGGATGAAAAATATGAAGTATTATTTCGTGGTGATGAAATCATAAGGTTGGTGAAAATATTTTGGCAAGCTATTTAGTGGAAGATATGGGGACCTATCAAATTCAATTGTAAATGGAAGTGTTACCACAATCTTTATTAGATATTCAGGTCGCATGAGGGAGGGGAGAATGCAAATTTGAAATCAAATTGGTTTTGCTGGATTCATGTTTTTTTTTTCTTTTTGCAGTGGATAGATGTTTTGGTGAGGTGCGTATTTTGTAATTGACGCCTTCCTTTCTGCTAATCCTTCAGAAGAGACATAGTGTTTTCTTGTAAACAACTTAGCTCTTTGAAAGCCAAATCATTTAATGAGCGATTAAGATTAAGCACTTGTTTGAACCCATTTTGAGGAAAAATGCATTTTGGAATAGTGATTTTTTTGGAGAATGTGTGGTTAAAAAATAAGAAAATTTCAACTTTGAGGGGTTGCTCAATTGGTCGGGTAGTTTGCTCCCCAATAGTTACCCGTTCGAATCCTGTCAGGGCCACTGAGGTGGGTACTCGACTGTAAACTTTAGAGTCCCGTGAAATTAGTCGAGGTGCGCGCAAGTTGGCTTGAACATCAACGGTTATCAAAAAAAATAAAAAATAAGTAAATTTCGATTTATGTGTAAAATTATTTTATTAAAGAATGTGTGGTTAAAAATGAGTTTCGAAAAAATGGGTTCAAACAAGAGCTAAATATTCTTGATAAATGGTTATAAGGATAAGAAAAATTCAAGATTGTATGTGCTATATAGGTATTACGTAAGTGTGATTGGGGTGTAAATGAGAGTCATTAGAAAATTGGTCCAGTTTATGCTTAGATCTAGTGTGGAAGTCATCCATGTACTTCAGATATCGATGGAAAAAGTAAATAGAGAAGGAGCAAGTTTTGCATTAGATATGTAAAAAAGCATATGATACGGGTACTAACAAGGTTCTGCGGTGAGTGTTTTTGGAAAAAAGTCTGTACTATATATCAATATTAGCGAAAATATGTATAGTGGAGATGGCAAGTGTGAGATCCAGATGTCCATTGATGGTAATAGCATAGAATTCCTTATTAGTTAAGGCTTGCATAAATTTGTCTTGAGTTATTTGTTTTTATTTTATTTTTATTTTTTTTATTTGCATGAAATTAAATAAAATTTTGATTCTTTTGTTGGGAAGATAATAGCTGTAAAACGTGTAACTGGTCACAATATGCATTGCACCCGATTACAATTCAGCTTAATGACTGATAATTACTGGGATGCCTAGGGGATTCAACAAGGCTTATAACTGGAAGTGCAGACCAGACAGCAAAGCTATGGGATGTTCAAACTGGAACTCAGCTTTACACCTTCAATTTTGATTCCCCAGCCAGGTCTGTTGATTTTGCAGTTGGTGATAAGCTGGCAGTAATTACCACCGACCCTTTTATGGGATTAACTTCTGCTATTCACATCAAGCGCATAGCCAGAGACCACAGTGACCGTAAGTATCAACTACTTGTGTGATTGTTCCTCTTTAGGTAGATTTATGCTCTTCTGGATTACCTTATTATTATACGTTTCTTTAAGGATGTTGGTTTTTTGTGGTCTATTTTTCTTATATTCTGGCCGTGGTATAATTCATCCAATCTTTAGCTGTTTTAGTTCGATACATTGCCTTCTGCTTGGGTTGCATGTACGTATGAAGTTCAAATGCAGTTGTCAGATACTTCTGTTACTTGTCTTCCTATTATATATTGCTAAATTTATTTGTCGCCAGTAAATTCTAAATGTTGACTGCGTTGCAGAGACTAGCGAATCTGTTGTCATTCTCAAAGGGCCCCAGGGAAGAATTAACAGAGCAGTTTGGGGACCTCTGAATAAGACAATAATAAGTGCCGGTGAAGATGCTATTGTTCGTATCTGGGATTCTGAGGTTGTAAACTATTTATCTTGTCTTATCTGATAGTTTTTTGCAAGAAAACAATTGTTACTAGATACTAGATAGGTAACTATTTGCTTGTGAAATTTCTTGATATTCAGTCACTTAACTGAAGCTTTGAATTTAGTATGCAGCCTTTTGTTTCTTTGTGCATTTGCCTTCATATGCATGCTAATTTTTATGCCTTTATTGATATGAAATTAATATGTTGGGTTTCGAACTGACAGACAGGGAAATTACTGAAAGAGTCTGACAAGGAAGATGGCCACAAGAAACCCATTACATCCCTTTCAAAATCTAATGATTGTTCACATTTCCTCACGGGTTCCCTAGATAAATCTGCTAAGGTGTGGTATTTTTTTCTTAATCTTTTTGGTATCCTCTTAGCCCTTTTGTTTTTATGTACCGACACCTCTGTTTTCACTTTCTTATTGGTTGACTGCTGTGCATGTTCACTAGCTTTGGGACTCAAGAACTCTGACGCTCATCAAGACATATGTAACTGAACGCCCGGTGAATGCAGTTGCAATGTCTCCACTTCTAGACCATGTATGTGCTGACAGAGAACTTAACTGAAAAAAACTCGTGATGTTTCTGTTCTGCCTTAGTTGAAAAACGTTTTGTTTATGCATTTTCTTTTCTTGCCTTTGTATTAATTTGAAATTTTTGTCTTGTCCTTTTCGTTGGTGAACTAAGTGGCAAGTTACTCTCCTTAGACTGCCTTCAGAGCTGATTAATGCTTAACTTGTGTGGATGTAAGCTTAGCAAGCATGTTTGATCTAGAACCTTTACATCCAGCTGATCTTTGAACTAGAATATATGATCTTTCACTTGGATGATTTAATCAAAGACTGTCCAAGTATTTTTGTATATGACGAGCAAGCAACATGATAGATATGTTAGTCATGATAGAATCTTCTTAATCATGAATTCTTAAAACTTAGTAACATGTTACACATTGATGGAGGACAGATGTGACTAAGCTTAGACATTGTTAAATGGCTTTCAAACTCCTTCCCTTCTACCACACCACTTTACCAAGGTGTGCATGGTGTAGATGCTGACCTTTATGCTTCAATAGAATCAGCTATTCATCTTATATATTTTGGCCCCTTGGTGGACTTGATGAAATAGTCATGTTAACCATCTTATAAATTATGATTGTATTTGATGAAGTTAATAATTTCTCTTAATTAATAATATCTCTTCTAAACAAGTCAACAATGTTGTTTCACCTTCTAAAATTGTAAACTTTTTGAGGAGTTCTCTTGCAGTATTTATCATGAGGGGGGAAAAATGTTAAAAGCATGTCTGTTGTAGATTCTCCCCAATTAGAATTGATTTTCTTCCCGTTAAACCACAAGGCAGCCTACCATTTTTGAACTTTCCTCTCTAAGGTGGCCCCCACCTGTTGACTTAAACGGTCTAATTTTCACTCAAATTTTGGAGAAAATCTCCAACAGACAACCCCTAAATATTTCTGCATCATTTTTTCCAACATTTTATCTATAGATGTTAGGGGTGAAAATAATAATAATAATAAAATAAAGCATACCCGCCAAACCGAATCAAAACCAAGATTTTGAAACCATTGATTCTGGTCGAACCATTCATCAATTTAGCCCATGTTTGAGCCACATTCTCATTTTCCTTCTCATTCTTCTACTCATTTTCAATCCCACATTTTTCAATAAAATAATATTTTTCATCACATCAATAACTTTTCTTTCTTTTTCAACCACATATTTACCATCACATCACCAAAAAAATGCATTATCTCCTAAAAATTGTGCATCAAACACTCTTATTTAAAAAAAAAAAAAACTTATTTTACTAAGATATATCATTTATTAGATCAATTTATAGTCAACAATTTTTATTGTTCATCAACTTCTATTGACTCTTTAATAAAATAATGATTTATTTATGATAATACTCTTCTCATCTAAAGAATGAAATTGCAAGCTTAAATTTTAATATTGATCTTATATAAATTTATTGGTTTCAGCTTGTATTGAGGAAAAAATATTATTATTGTAACGTTTATGTTTAAATGGTCCAATCCAAGTGTTATAGTTTAATTTTAGACTGATATGTATATATTTTCACTTCTTTTGAAGATATTATTTCTCTGTCTCTAAAATGGAGTTTCGAAACTAAATCAAATCTCAAAAGATGAAATGATTAGGTTTTGAATTTTTTTCAAACATTTAAAATGGTTTGAAAAACTGCCCAAATTGAACTGTGTTTACCCCTAATAGACGTGTATAGCTATTAATATTTCGTACCATTGGCTGTATATGTACAGCAATAGGGATAATTATAACTAAGCAATTACTGTCAATTTCAAAAAGTAGAATCTAGGAAGCCAATTCATATATATGTATGTATGTATATGTATATGCCTGCACACCTAGAATAAATTAGGAGTTAAACACCATATTAGTTATGATTCTAAAGGAAATGTGAATGTAATAAATATTTTATATCAGCAGTATCATATGTATAGATGGTATGGCTGAAGTTCACATCACGGATATAAATTGTAATCTTTAAAAATTGATAATTTTAAGTAACCCATGTTTGTTGATCATTAGAGAGCTTATTCTAAATACTCTTGCTTGTACATTTATGTGGAAGTGCTTATCTTCACTTGTTTATGTTCAACCATATGTATAGTAATCAATAAAGTTTTTATCTAGTCAACATTTTATGTGTAGAAGATATTCATCACATATATTTCTTTTTTCCTCGTGTTGATTTGTCGCTTTTATGATTTGCAGGTGGTTCTTGGAGGTGGTCAGGATGCATCATCTGTCACCACCACAGATCACCGTGCTGGAAAATTTGAAGCCAAATTCTATGACAAGGTAAATATTGTTTTCTTGGAGTGAAGTTGAAGTCAAATTAAATCAATTATGAATATGATATGGAATTTTAAAAACATTTAACTATTTTGTATATGCTGTTTTTGTGTGTGGGTAGATCCTTCAAGAAGAAATAGGTGGCGTCAAAGGCCACTTTGGACCTATAAATGCATTGGCATTTAATCCTGATGGGAAAAGGTGATATCTCAGTCGAAGCTGGAATTCTTAGGACCATCATGAATAAAATTTTATTTCGAGATCGTATGCTTGTTCATTAATGCTGGTGCTTACTCTTGTGAAACCTCTTGTGCTAATATGTTAAATGCAAGAGTTTCACCTTTATAGTTCACATTCCTGTGCTGTAAGAGTCCTGTGGTTGATGTTCTTTATACAATTGTCAATTGCTCGAGAAAATATAAAAAAGAAAGAAAGGGGCATTGGTTGTTGGCGTTTTGGCAAATGCTATCTCTGTTTCTGATTTTGATGTTCTATCGGAGATTTGATGGGGTGATAAACAATGACCCTCTTCAACCTAACTCGGAGTAGGTCTTCTTTGTCAAGCTAAACTGGGGGGTGTTCAAGTAATTCCTTTTTGTTTTGTTGTCCTTAATTTTAAGCATATGAATTTCTATGCTGCTGCTGTAGTGATTTTTAGAGAGTAAGGAGGAGTTCAAATGCTTTTTCTCTATAGTGCCAGTTAACTAATGGAATGTCATCACCCCAGTTTGGAAGATACCAATGAAGCAGCGTTAGAAAGATTTTGTGCAACTTTTATTCTTCAAATTTTCAAGGAATATCTTGGGTTCTTGGGGCTCTATATATCTTAAGTTCTTATGAAGCGGGCTTGAAAATTGTTTATTTTGGTGTAATGGTTTCATTATACAAGTTTTCAGTTTCTCCCCAGTTTGTTTTCTCTTTGCCTAATTGTGTTTGTTGGTTAATCTTTATAAAAATAATCTTAATCTTTTTACCGCATCCTGTGTACAGTTTCACGAGTGGAGGTGAAGATGGATACGTGCGATTGCACCACTTTGATTCAGATTATTTCAACATCAAGGTTTAGGTATACAGCGAAGAGTGCAGAATTTTGTCCTTTAGTGGTTTATTCATTTAATAATGAAGTTTCGCTTTGTTGTTGATTTCATCAGCGCAGAAAGTGCTGTGTAGGATAGGCCCTGCCACATTTTATGCGAGTTCTTAAATTAAGTTGATATGATTTGGATTTTATGTTTCAACTAAGAATGTCTAACGCTTGTTTTTATTTGTTGCTCATCAAGTAACTATCGACTCCTTTCTTAGTCAGGTACTCTCCATATCTTACATACTAATATGGTAGACTATAGTCCTTGCCGATGAAATATTGGAATGGACTTTAAAATAGCACGTGACAGCACTTAGGGGTTGTTCTCTTCGTGTTTGAGTTTTGTGTTTTGAATTCATTTTGAGATTGTTAAAAATTTGTTCTTTTTGTTATTTTGAAAAATTATTTTCAAACATGAAAACACCCTTGTTCTCTCTCTTCTTCCCCTGTGTCGTCTCCTCTCTGTTTTTGTGCACACCTTTTTGTGCATTGTGCGATGTTTTTGGGTGTGGTGGCGTGCGGTGTTTTTGGGCCGTGGCATGGTGGGCTTCTTTTAGTGGGGTGGTTTTGAGAGGTGGCGGGCTTCTTCTGATGCGGTGTTTTTGCGTGGTGGCATTGTCGGCTTCTTTTAATGTGGTGGTTGTGACGACGTCGGTGGTGGTGTGATGCAGGTGGTGTGTATAGGTGGCAATGGTAGTGGTTGTTGGTCGCTTAAACACTCAAAACTCGTTTTGAAAATTTTGACTTGATTGAAATAACTCGAAACGATTTTTAATTTGTTTTCAAAGATGAGTTTTCGAAAATTGAAAAGAGAATATGTTTTCACTGTTTTGAAAAATAAAAAATAGAAAGTGACTTGAAAACAGTAAAAAGAACGTGTTCGTATCCTTCTAATTTGTTTTAGCCTTTTTGGGTTTGGAATTTTCATTAAAGCTGATGCTTGTTACTTGATCCTGTAATTTTTTTGATGAAAAGTTAGTACTTCAGTCAAGAACGGACTGTTATAATGGTAGAAATAAATTTAGGGCAGCAATAGATACATAATCTATTACTACAAGAAAGTAACATAAAGACACCATAGTATGAATCACTTTAATTTTTTCAAAGACCTACTGAAGCAATTAAAATTTCATTCAACTTATAATATTTTCATGCTGGTGCGAAGAAAGGTGTCATGCCAGTTGGGGAATATTTTGAATCTCGTGTCAGACGACTGAATGTACATCGAGGTGGAAAGTGAGCTCGACTCAAAGCTACAAGGCCCGGAGAACTATCCATTACGTATTGCAAGAAGCTCAACTGTTAAATGCCGGGAATTAAACCTATGCTTGCTATCCCAGCAACAAATAACAATCTTGTCTGCGTTGTGAAACAACCTTCATGAAATAATTTCGGAACTGCAGAGCCAATCTACATCCCCAGCAGACAATAAATTCCACGGCGCTCATTGTGCCGTAAAATCAGGTCTGATGGTTGGGATGGAAAGAATGGCCTTGCTATCTATTGAATAAACTGATTGACGTGCTATCAGATATTTATTTCCGACTTTGATAATTTTTGAAAAAGAAAAATCAAAATATTTATTTTTTTCTTAGCCAAATATGCTCTTTTACAATTGAATCTGCTCTGCAGTTAAAATATGCATGACGATGCACATATAACTTTAATGTCAACTCTCGATATTAAATGACTGACCATAATTCTAACTCATTCGATAAATTCAATTATCAATGATATGTCCAATTAAATGCAAGAACATGAAATCCGTCTTTGAATGCCATCTAAATATGATGATGCATTACTCAACAAATAATGCAGCAACTCTCCAATTTTCCCGCGATTTTGAATTGAACGTCTCAAGCGGAATTTGCCATGTGTTGCCGAAGCGTCTGATAACTGGTAAGATCTAGTGACTAGAGCCAATAACCGAAGCATTTGGGGACTCCGCCTATGTCATGCTTGCCTGAATTTGTCGACCACATGCCATGCCTTGCACGTTTCTCTATATACTATCTGCCATGTCCTATGCTATATCCAAGCACCATTTTATAAGTCTCGCCCACAAAGGCGTAATAAATGCTGTCTTGCGCCGAATTGCACCTATTCTACATATTTACATCGACTAAAATTCACATGGACTAAGCCAACATATGATGTCCAAATAATCAAGATTGTAATAACTGTAACAATAGCAACATAACCTGGACTGGATTAACCAAGATTAGCATGCTCTCACCGAATAGCTGTCCGAAATTATTGACAAGTTCTTTATCATGCTTTTATCCTAAGATTTGATTCAAGCTCACAATTTATGTAGGGGCACAAAATTCATGAATTCACGTGAACGAAACAATGGGTGGAGGTTCTCAGTGGATGTGAAACCTGAGAAACAAAAGAGGAAGGCACTATCAAAAAACAAGCTAGATCCTTTTCATTTGCAATTTTATGATTATATTACAGAATCAGATAAGAAAAATATCAATCCACAGAAATAAAGAAATACAAGAGAATCAAAAGCTTACTTATCACTTATCAGGGATTAGGATTCTTCTAGGATCCGTCCTTGCATTGCAAGAGAACTTGTGCTTGTGAGTCGAAGAGAAAATATTGAACTTCACACTTTTTGGAGGGAATAAAATAGTCTATTCACCAATATTCATTGCAAGAGCAGGCCCCGTCCTTAAAATGATGGAAACGATTTGCATCTCTTACAATGATCTCCTTCTGAACAAGCATTGATGATAATCTCATAAAGGTATGGCAGTCTAAACAGATGCGTATATTCTTCATTATCCTAATAACGCCCTTATTGAAGTTCGAATCACTGCCATTCATCAGACAAAAGACCAAAGCCAGCTTCTCACTGTGGTGATATAGTTGCTCCTCTTTTTGTTCTTCTTCTACATCGTGTAAAGCCAAATTTGTCTCCGGAACATAGCCTATTTTCTTCAATTGTCTCAAGAAGTCCTCCAGAGTAGCGCGTATTGCTTCTCGCTGTGGATGTTGCCAGCCACCAGAAGCAAATTCGTGCACTTTATTGCCTACTTCAGTCCAGCTTAAACCAGGTTCTTTCCTGACCCCCACTCCATTCATTTTCTTCCTTATAATATTGGCTTCATCAAAACTACCAGTCGAGCAACATATATTAGATAATAGAACATATCCCAATGAATTTTTTGGATCCATTTCTTTCAACTTCGATGATGCTAAGTTGGCAAGCTGGCTTTCACCATGTTTTCTACATGCTCCAAGCATAGCACTCCAAACAACATAATCTGGTTGCATGGGCATTTGTCTAATAATCTTTGCAGCCTGGCGAACTTTCCCAACTCTCCCTAAAATATCAACTATACAAGCAAAGTGATCGAGTTGAGGAGAAATACCATGTTTTTCATACATAGAATCAAAAATCTTAGTTCCTTCGTCCACCAGTCCAGCATGGCTGCAAGCTGAAAGCAATGCAACAAAGGTTGCCTCATCTGCTTTGACATCCATTTGCTCAAAAAGTTTCAATGCTGCCTCAGCCTTCCCATGAATCGCATAAGCCTTCAACATAGAGTTCCAAGAAACAATATCCTTCAATTCCATTTCATCAAAAACTAACTTTGCTTTATCTATTGAACCACACCTTGCATAAGCATGAATTAATGCATTTTCAAGCGCTATAACATCCACGAAACCTGCTTTAATCACCTGACAATGCCCGGCTGAGGCATGCCTCTCTGTGACGAAGCCTGCACAAGCTTTCAATATAGTTGAATATACATAAGAATCTGGAAATATACCCTCTCTGCGCGACTGATTAAAGAGGGAAAGAACTTGTCTGGGGTCCCTTTCAACGAATGCATTCATTATTCCAGTCCATAAAACAACATCCCTGCGCATCCCACTTGTCTCCAGAAATAATTTATTGCAATCATCTACCTCTCCTCCAAGCGTAGAATAAGCTTTCACTAAAGCAGTCACCAGTCCGACATCCAACGCCAAGCCTGTTTTAATACCAACACAATGTAACTGCAAACAACACTGAAGACCCGTGAGATAATCATTTCCCTCATCACCTCCGTGTAAAGAAGAAACTAAACTTAAAAGCGTAGCACGGTCTAATCCAAAACCATCACGACACATTGTCATGAAAAAACTCATAGCTTGATACCCATGTTCATGCATACGGAACCCCGCAATCATCGAATTATAGGTAACAAGATTGCGAAACTCCATGTTATCAAACACCTTCCAAGGCTCAACTCCACCGACATCACTACTATTTTTCCAGTACATTGAGATCAAAGCATTAGCCACATAAACCCACGAGTAAAAACCAGTTTTCAAAGCAAGTGAATGCACTTGCATTCCACGAGAATAATCACAAGCAGAGAGCACGCTTGCGTAAGCAAAATCATTGGGTCTGTAATGAAATAACATTTCAGAGAATAAGCTGAAGGATTGGTCTACCTTTCCATGTTGGGAATAGCCCGAAACAAGTGAAGTCCAAGTAACAACGTTTTTTTGAGACATTTGTTCAAACAGTTGGCGGGCGACGTCTAATTGCCCACACCTTACGTGCTTCCAGATGAGATGGTTGGCAGTGTAGAGGTCTGGTGCGGAGGTGGTGTGGAAAGCCTGGGCGAGATGGCTTGTCTTTGGGCTCTGCTGGAAGACTTGGCTTCTGTACGAACCTAGTGATTTGAAAACACTTCTCATGCCTGTTCATAGCTTAATCTATAGCACAAAACAATTTAGAAAGTCGTTTTTCCGTGTGATTTACTTACTCTATATATTTGTAGTTCTAAGTAAAAGAATTGAGAGAGCATAATGCCAAGAACATCACGTTTTAGAGAAGCGTCCAATGTGCCAATGATTCATTTAACCTTCAAGCACTCGTTTATTAAGTTAATCTGTAAGTAACAATGAAAACTCAGTATGACAAATTTGTCGACCAACTCTTGCTAGATCAGGTGTTGTCGAAGACATCCTCCATAGCAACGAGGTTCCTCATCTCACTCGATAAATGCTCACGAAATTTAGCACATTTTGCACTTAAATCAACCAAAATAGACCAGTTTGACAAGTATTGCACAAATTATGAGTATTATAGGAATGAACACAAGATTATGAATCATCCCAACTTTATTTATCTAAAATAAAGAAAAACTAGTTTACATGGAACTAAAGGGCCAACACACTTTATGTTTGTCACAACAATAGGGAATTATACCAAATTTGTATTGCACAAATTCCGTCAAACATTTTCTGTGCCTATAGCATAACTACATTTTCAATCACTCGACAAATCGCTCTCAATAGCTGATCACATGTCATCCTTGTGCTTGTTTTTGTCATTGAGGCATGGACTCGTATCAACTGGACCAGCACTCCCACCAATGAGGAGGTGTCGATTATGGACACCCTGTTGTATACCTTAATGTACTTCTAGCATTTTTCACGGAATATAACATCACTGCCATTGAGTAAGACAACCCTGTGCAATGTCCACTTTCTCGAAAGGGGTCTATTACCATAATAACATGTTCATAGATTTAAAGAAACTAAAGAGAAAAGAGTTAAATGATAGATCTCTACATTTATACATTATCTTATCCATTCTTAAATCTTACATAGAGGTGTCAAGACGGACGGGCCGGTCATGACCCGTGAGAATCGGCCCGTGAAAACCGGGACCGCGGGCCGACCCGTGCGGGCGGTTCACGGGCCAAAGAG